TGTTTAAAAATAGGGAAATAGGAACACCACAGATGATTACACAACCTAGCGTTTTGTTACATTATTTTTAAGCAGAGTATTTGGGGTTGTCTCGGAATGAAGAAATTCTAATTGTCTGCAGAACTTTAGTCAGGAAAGACACCCAAAGAAAGACTTCGAGTACAAGGCTTTTATAAAGCTTTTTGAATGTCATTCCCATTCTGTGAACAATCAAGTAAGAGAGTAAGCCAGACAGGCACATCAAAAAGGCTGTGTTCATGTCTGGGTTGCTCATAGCCCAGGATGCTCATCCTCCACCCTGGTACCCTGATCCCTGCTTGTCCTTCCCCAAGACTGAAGACTTAAAGGTCACTGGGCTCCATTAGCGCTGGACTTAGCAAACTGGTTGTTTAATAATAAATGTGCAGGTGTATTTGTTATCATTTTTAAGTGACCAAATCAGGAGTTGGTTCTTTTGGTTTCAATGATGGTTCCATATGCTATTTGAGATTTACTTATTGGTGTTAAAAACCATGCTTGAATGTTCTGGAATTTGTATACCTCTGAGAAATCAGAGGTCCCAGTTCTATAGTAATTTTGATTATTAGGTAAGTCTAGGTAATTTTGTCAAGCAAACAGTATGTGTGTGTTTTCTAGGGATATCTTAAGCTCTCACTCAGTCTTCTTCCTGACTAGGTCTAGATCCATGGTGTGAATTAACAACAGCTAAACTAACACAAACTTTTGAAAATGCTGAGTTACCAAGAGATTAGTAATAGCCAATGTAGCCTAAAGAACAAAAACATGTCAAAAGCCCTTTAAGGAAGAGTGAAAGTGATAACATGACTCAGATTCCAGATGAACTTGATACAGCGCCTAGTGAATAATTCCATGTGATCGAATGCAGCTTTCATGTAATCTGAGTCGTCAGTTCTGCTCTCCAAAATTAGTATTCAGCTGTACACGTTTTGTTATTTTCAAAATACAGCAGATCCACTAAGTCAGAAATTCCAATAAATCTTGCTTCTAAATAAATCACTGCCCCGTGATTGATCTGTGCCCCATTTCAGTTTGTAAAGTGATGTGTTTAAGGAGATTCTATGTACCTCTTAGCTGGTTAATTTTAATTTAACTACATTGTACATTATTATCATCCCCCTTTGTAACATTTGATACTTCAACATTTAAAATGCCTTCATTCTAAAGAATAGTTTACTAAGTAAAATTAAATCTATCCCATACCTTTTAAATCATTGTGTGTGTATGCGCACACATGCCCCCCCACACACACACACACATGTGCTGCAGTGCATGTGTGGAGGTTAGAGGACAACTTGAAGGAATTAATTCTTTCCCTTTATAGTGTGAGTTCAAGAAATCAAGCCCAGGCCATCATGCTTGGCAAATGCCCTACTCAACCATCTCTCTGGACCATTCTTACTGTGCCCATACATTAATACTTTTAATATTTGCAATACTGGGTTCTTACTACATTCACGAGGGTTATACTGTTATTTGCATCTTTTAAATTTTTCATGGTATTTCAAGCAGATTAACACAAAGATCTATAAGTTTTAACCTCTACGTTTATATTCTAAGCACTTTTCTGGGTATTTAAATACATCAAGATTCTGGTATTTTAGGAAAAGTTTGTTTTCCAGTCTCTTTTAGGATAACTAAGACTATGCTCATTGAGATGGCAATTCCTGGGGTTCTAATGCATATCCATGTAGTCACCTAATCCTTATTTTGTCTTTCTCATGGAAAATGCTATTTTATTTTATTTTATTTTATTTTTTGTCTTAACTCAGCAATGATTTCCTAAGTGGAGTGTCTCCTAGGAGTAAATTTCCAATTTCTGTTAAACTGCATTTAAGACAAGTACTATCATTTTGGTTTTTAATCCCCTATTCTCTCTTACCAACAGCCTACCGCTGTGGTGGTATAACCCTACATTGGCCAATAGAAGAGCCAGGCCTCAGATCCAAGTCCAAACACTTTGGCTCTGAGCATGTCCTCTGCCGTATCTACTTCAGAAGGAGGTTCATGCAGAGTGGTAAATGGCCATTGAATCTCCAGGGCAGGATCCATGCAGTGCACAGGCTGGCCAGGGGGATTCCCCAAACTCTGCCAATAGGCAGTTCTAACTGCTATGGTTAGAACTACGGATGAATCCTGTCATAAAAATCACTAGGAATTATAAATAGGATAAAGTAAAAAATTAAAGAGACTATAATAACATCATGATTAAACTTACCTGTAAAAACCTTGGGAAAAGATGATTTGACTCAATGCCAATATAAATGTGCAGCAGCTCCAAGAGGGAAATAAATTGGCAAACCCGCATAACCAGCCCAATGGCATAAAACGTGTCGACCATTGAATCTGTGTCAGTGAGCGACAAACATATAGACATGGTGAGTCCAAACTGCATCAGAGTGCACATTTGTAGAGTACTGCAAAATACAACTGAGATGGTTTTCTTTATTGTATGTTCAAAAAAAAATCACTTTAAGAAAGCTACTGAATTGTAGCAGTGAAGTGAGATATATCTCCTCCAAGTACTGTGGTACTTACCAGAAGTGCTGGAGAACTCATAGGAAACATGTGGATACTTACAGAAAGCTTGTATAGTTCTTTCTAAATTGGGCCTCTTCCAGAAAGAACTGAAACTTACAAAGTCTTCACAGCCAGAGTTGTTGTATCTATTCCCAATACATGAGATTCTCACTTAATTCCCACACAAATGTAATCAGACAGAAGCTAAACCCCTTCGAGTGTAGATAGTTTGGGAGTGAAACTTGGGGGAAAAAATATCTGCTGTGCTCAGCTTTTTCATTGACCAGAAAAAAAGACTAGAAAACCGATTTAGAGAAATTTTATAGAAATGACCCTGGTAATGCTATGATTGATGTCAAATACCAGGTCTGTCTGTACTTGTACTTTCCTACACACTAGGAATTTGACTAGTGACTTTGGATTTGTTTTAAGCACTGAACTTTGGAATTGTTATTATGAGAGGATATAACTGAGATATTCCCCTTGGAGGGAACTGAACTAGAAACGAGCAGATGGCCCTCTAATGACAAACTTGTTGCTTTAAGATCATAAAATCCTGCCATGTTTGGAGATCTCTAATGGCAATTTTTTAAAAAAATTTTACTGCTTCCAGGCATTCGAATGATCATAATTGACCAGGCACTAGGGTTTATTTTCTTGGTGTCTCTGTAGATGCCCCTCTCAGAGACAATTCCTGACACACCAGTAGTCTACACTCCTACCCGCTGCCTGTACCATCACACAAGTTCATTGCCTAGGGCAGTGGTTCTTAACCTGGGGGTGGAACACGCCTTTCACAGGGGTTGTTTATCAGATATTCTGCATATTAGATATTTACAATTCATAACAGTAGCAAAATTACAGTTACGAGGTAGCAACAAAATTTTGTGGTTGAGGGTCACCACACATGTGGAACTATATGAAAGGGTCAAAACATTAGGAAAGCTGAGAACCCCTGGCTGAGGAAATGGAGTTGGTCTCCCACTCCATTGTTCTCAGCCTTCCTTTCAAATGAACAAAACCATTTATGTTTCTCTAATCATACATAGCTGCTACAATTACAGTGGCATATCATAAAGACACCGATGGCTAAAGCCACTTTCCCCACTGGGGACCATATTAGAATTCTTGCTTGGGGCACAGGATGTTAGTGACCTGCAGTCTGCCACACAGTCTCACCTAGCCTTCAAGGTACACAGCTGATGGCCTCCTACCACTTGTATCTCAGCTTCCCTCTTAGTATGCATAGCTGACACTCGGCCGTAGTTCTGAAATTAACAAAGGCAAGAAGAACGTGTACATTTTCAGAAAGATTGGGAAACATAAAATGGTCTGTGGCAGCCCAGGGGATGGGTTTCCTTATGATACATGAGTCTCAATTGATGAACTCAGCACGGTTTTTTTCCAGCCATGCTCGTGTTTGTTTTTAGCTAAACCAGCAGTTGCTCAAATTGTCGAGTCACCAAACAGTTGTAAACTGTGATGACACTCACTCATGTGGGGATGGAACACAGAGAGAATGTTGTTTTGACAGTCACTTGGTGATTCATTCTTTAACAATCTGAAATGAATAGATTAAAGAAACATCTTGACTTTTTAGGAAACTGAGGGAAGCTTATGATTCAAATCCTCAGCACCAACTCCACATAGGTAACTAGTCATCAGTGTGCTGTGTCATGTACATATTACTTAAGGGGTCAAGCAGGGTCTTGGGGATCTAACATTTGTCATTCAGTTACCAGTAATCTTTAGCTACTCTAAACCCGGGGAATAAAAATCAATGGAAGAATTTCATTAATTGCTTTGCATAGAATGTCAGGCTGGAATTTACAGATTCCTCAAAATGCATTAAATCTTTGAGTTTGGCACAGAACCAAAAAGGAACATCCCAATGATATGACTTTGCTTCCAAAGCACCCTGCCTGCTCTGGGGCAAAATGGGTCCCTTCCCCTTGGCCTCACCTTCTCCTTACTACAAAAAGGTTTAAGTTTGAAATAAGAAAGTATGGTTATGGAAAAACAAACCCTAGAGAAGGAAATGATGACAGGCAAGCTGCCCAGAAGTTCAAAATTAAAATCAATATAACAAGATGAAAACAAGGAATAAAAGTTAAAAATCAAAACTGCCTCAGAGTTACCTTTTCCAAATGAGAAGAATCTGGCCGTCATATTCGTCAGTATCCATGAGTGGCCACAGAACTGGATTAGGTAATAGATGAAAAGATATGCATTCTTTCTATACCTATAAACACAGGGAGATGCCATTAAACACGTCCTTTAATGTACCAGTCACACTGAGCAAGGGGAAGAAAAGTTCTGTGTCACAATTCTGTGTCGGGGTCTTTCAGTGGGTTGGCACTCCAAACCCACTAAAGTTTGATGGGACGAATTTATCTAACATGAATATATTGATTGAAGTTGCTGAATTGATTGAGGTTAGTTCTTTTCCATCTTGATAAAAT